TGTTGTGCCAAGGGGGTGGGACCAAAGCAGCTGGTCTTGCAGCACTGCGTGAGCTCCCTGACCCTGGGCTGGAGTGGCAAGGCACTGGCATGCATGGGCCACATGCACTGCACCCAGCCCCTCTAGTTCCCATCTCCATCGCAAGCCTAATGGCCTCGCCATCCCGAGAGGAGCCAGTGTGGCTGCCCCTTGCCATTTCATTGCCTTGGACTCTTGGTTGTTTTCCTTAAAGCCTCAGCTGCTGGGAGGAAGCGATGACGGAATCTCACCTCTGTCCAGCCCTGCCCCGGTGGCTAGCTCTCCTGGTTGCAGAGAAAAGCTCGGACCCACGAAGTGAGGGCACCCGAAAGGCGCAGAAACCGGATACAAATAACCCGGCATTTGTTACGTTGCATACAAAGAATCTCCTGGGTTTTAAGTGAATCTGATGATTTGGGGGCACTGACACCTGATTTTGGATCACCTGAATTTGGCAATTCAGAGGACCCACCCTGTCCCAACATGATGGCATTGCCACACACAGGGTCCAGCATCCTTACCTCTCTGACCCTCTTTCTCAACTCAGTATGTGTGGGACCAAGCCTCAGTACAGTAGCCTTCCTACCCTCACACTCCTTGACTCCTGTCACCGTGTCATAGCATAGGGGTTTTTACATGGAGGGCCCTGCCTCTCTCTGCAACCTGCCCAACATCCCTGTCTACCTGACTCTGTAATGCACATACACGTAGGCTATGTCTACACTCGCAGCTTCTTGCGTGAGAAATATGAAAATGAGGCTAAGCATGGAATATCACCGAGCCTCATTTGCATACCTAATGAGCTGCCATTTTTTTCAAAAGAGGCTCCTGAGCCAGAAGGAGCTGTCTACACTGCCCCTACTTGCGCAAGAAAAACCCTCTTGCGCAATGCAGCTATGCCGATTATTTTCAGGAACAATGGCATTGCACAAGAGGGTTTTTCTTGCGCAAGTAGGGGCAGTGTAGACAGCTCCTTCTGGCACAAGAGCCTCTTTTGCAAAATGGCGGCTCATTAGGTATTCAAATGAGGCTCGGCGATATTCCACGCTTAGCCTCAATTGCATATTTCTCGTGCAGGAAGCTGCAAGTGTAGACATAGCCATAGAGAGAGAGAAAGATTCTTCAGGCAGACAGAAGCGAAGACAATTCTTGATCTCTTGCCATCCCTTGTTCCTCTGAATCCCAGGAAGTAGGTTAAAATATATTAGCTCTTTGGACATAAAATAAATTTCCTTCATATCCATTTCTTTACTTATGCAGCCAAAATACACCCTAGGGAACAGGGAGTGATCTGAATAGCTTGTAAACTGGGCACTAGCAAATAATATGTTTTGACAGAGCTAAATGTAAATGCATACGCTATTCTGGGAAGCCATGACTCTGAAAAAGATGTAGCAGTCATGGCATAAAATCAGCTGTACATAAGTTCCCAGTTAATGCTTTGACCAAAAACAATCGCTGGAAGCATAAACAATGAAAGGTAAAGTGGGAGTCAAGAGAGGTGAATTTACCACTGTATTTGGCACTGGTGCAACTGCTGCTGGAATACAACATCCAGTCCTGGTGTCCACAATTCAAGAAGGATGATGATAAATGGAGAGCGTTCAGAAACAGCCAAGAGAATGAAAAAGGCATTAGAAAACATGCCTTATAGTGATAGACTGTAAGATAGGAACCTCCAGAAAGGGTGGATAGGTGGAGTGGAAGAGGAAAGGAGAGGTTCACCAGAACATGGCTGTGGTGGGAACTTTGGGGAAGGGGTGGAGCAGGGAGGGGAGTGCAGGCCAGCCACCATGGCACAGACACCTGGCAGCAGCTCAGTCATGGCCTATTATACCCACTGACTATGGTAATGTCTTTTACTGGATCAATTTCTGTTGGTGAAAAAGACAAGCTTTTGAGCTCTACAGAGCTCTTCAGGTCTGGGAAAAGGTACTCATGAGTGTCACAGTTAAATACAAGGCAAAAAGATTGTTAAGCACAAGAATAAGCAAATCACTAGTGTACTGTAACTTTTATTTCCCATGCTGATGAGACTACAAACTCTGATCAACATGCCATAATAAAAAGTGAGAAATCTTTCAGCTTGAAGCTGCTGACTTTAATAAAATACAAAAGTGTCCACCAGTAGGAAAGGCAGGTATGGCCTTACTCATTCTACTAATCTCACAAGCACGACCAATTTCAGCATGTACACACACACATATATATTAGTCTTTTCATACTGGTCATCTGGAGATATATTTAGGCTACGTCTACACTGGCAGCTTCTTGCTCAAAAACTCTTTGTGGAAGAGTTCTTGTGCAAAAACTCTTCCAGAAGAGAGCGTCTACACTG